GTGTTTGTATAATTTTATATAACTTTTAATTTTTTATGACTCTTGAACAAATARATTGGGAGATACTTGATATATGTTTTAGGCCATATTATATAACATATTATAATAAGTAGTTTCAAATTCTTAAAATGTTGTTTATTTGAGACCAACTCAAAATTATAAATATACCTACTTGTGTCTWGGTTGACGAAGTATACTATATCGATCGCTCATGGTGTTTAACAAAGTTAGAAAACTATCCGCACATACTGTCATACAATACTGACTATCATAAACTAAGATCTTCCATTGTTCTTTGTTTTGTATAATTTCATCCATTTTTATGTGAGCATCTTAAAAATATCGAAAWATTATAGATTTTATTAATAACGTTTAAAATATAWCACTTACATTTTCGTTCCATATTAATCCATTTAAAAAATATTTGAGCTTGAGTTAAGACTTCTGTAACACTTGGATAATCAATTGGATAACCATAAACTTTTCTTAGTTCATGTTCAAATGCTAATGTTTCATCCACAATATGTGAAAATACTACATCTTCCAGTTGAAAATGTGACAAATCTGAATCAAGTTTAACTACTACCAGCTGCAATAGCCCTATAATAAAGTCATACTGTAAAAAAAAATATAAAAATTATTACTAATTAAGAAACAATAACATTCAAAATAAGCTATGATTAATTTTCTGATGTTGCTATAGACTTATTGTTATTAATATTAATCATATCATCTACTTGAGAATCGACAGCTCTTTTTCCATTTTCTACATAGACTGGGCCCAACCAATCCACAACAAATGTTCTATAATCTCTAATCCAGCTCAATACTCTAGATAAAAACCATTCAGGCTTATCAGGTTTATTGGTCTGTTTTTTTCCAGTGAAATGGTAAAAAAATCTTTTTCGAAAAGGTACTATTAACATAATAATTGGCACGGTTACATGAGAATAATGTTCCAACAATGGAGACGTCTGTAATTGCTCGTTGATTTCACTAAAATCATTTTTTCTAATAGTGCAGCTAAGGATTTTTAAATATTATATGAACTGATTATATATATATTATTGTTGTTCATACTAAAGGATACGGAAGTTGAACTTTTATTAACATGTTTGCTAAACGTTGAAACTGTTGTTTAAAGTTATTTAATTTTGCATTATCAGTTATTTCGCTGATTGTAAATGGCCAGTTCATTTGTTTTAGAGTAATTTCCATATCTCTAAAAGTAAAATTAAATGTAGGTAATCATATACATTGTTTTTATAGAAATATATTAATTAATTCCTATTATAGCGAAACAATTCTTACTCTGAATAATATTTTTCAAGTATGCTGTGCCAATAATTGATTACTCTGGTAATATAGGAAACCAAATGTTTAGATGGAGCAGCACTCATAGCAAGACTGAGTTCACACAAAATGTTATACGACTTAACAGCTTCAATATCACGTTTACTCATCAAATCTGTTCTCATTTTRTTGCTAAAAATCATTATATGTCACTCTACATTGTGTTCCAAGTGAAACAATTAAACACATACCTTTTGGAAGCAATACATTGAAGACACGTAAAGTACGTCATTCGATTACATTTATATTTTAAATCTTCAATCAACTTCTGAAATACGGTCCTAATACTCTCAGTCTCCTTCTTGAACCTAGCATATTTTAACTTGAGCTGTTCAACTTCTATTTTCAACGAAACAATTGACAGCCGCTCCTGTTGCACCTCACTCAAGGTCTTGACTATGTTTGAGTTTGGCCCAATCACTTGGGAGTTGATCTACACAATCAATATTTATAATTATACTCTTAGGTATACTGAAACAAATKTCCTATTAGTACCTAACTGAATTCAACTTACCTTCTCGACAATATCATGTTTTCTTTTTAAGAGAACTTGTTTATACACCTCGCACCGGGTTATAAGACCGTCAAAACTGTCACCCAGTTCTTCGTTGATTGCTACCAGTTCAGGTAGATTGTTGGCCATTTTGTACGACGGCTAGCAACGATAAATTGGTCGAGGTAAAATCAAGTAGTTAAAAGTAAATTAAAATGCATTTTATTCATTATAAATCGACGCCGATTCCAAAAGATTCGTAATAACCGTGTAGACTACACGTAGTAGTTTTGTAAGATAATTCAAATGTTTTGAATACAAAATCACTGATAACGTTATCATACTTACTACACGTTGACGTTAAAACTGCTTGCCAGACAARTAAGTTGTCCTACAAATTATTTGTTAACGATATTTCTACGAAATTAATTTGTTCCACGGGCCACGACTCGTTTAATGATAACAACAAAAAATTATATTTTACAAATTTATTATCSGTCATGTTTTTAGTTTTTTTTTTCACTATAAATTATTTTACGTATATTAYATATTATGTTCAATCCATCATTTGATTTTTGTTCCACAATATAGAATTTTTTTATAATTTTTGTAATAAGAGTATAGTATACGTTGTTTTCTTCTTACCAAATACTTTAAAATTTTAATAATTCAAACTTCAAAGTATATTTTGATTTTATAAGCTCACAATATGGCAAATTGTATTGTTTATGTTTATAATAAACTTTAAAATAAAAATTTGGGAAATAACCTACACGATTTTCTTGATAATATTTTTACTTTTGAATTTGATGATACCTAGATAAATTCAGTATAATATTAAAAATAATAGGATAAAACAAAATAATATGTAATATTATGCGTTTGTTTTCAGATGTCGTGTCATCTTATTATTATATGAAAATGAAATATTAAACGCTAATGAAACAGAATGAACTACAAAACAGCCAATTACTGTGAAATAAAAACTAGGAAGTGTCTTGGTAGACCGTATTACTTTGTATGGTAGCTTTAGATGGAAAGTTAGTAAAATAAAGGCGTTGGGATATTGTTGTTTCATTTTATTTGTGTTTGATTACTCAAATATAATTTGTGGACCTCCAAGATAAATGCATCATGTTCTACAAAAGGTTACGAGAGAGTGAAATGGACTGTTTATTATTTAAAAATAAAATTTAACACAAATTTGTATAGGTTTGTAAGAATGCTTTTGAAATTTCAAATTTTCCGAGAACAAAATRCTATTGTTGGGATGTTTGGTTTCTAGTTAATAGTTAGATATTTTTAAACTCATCAATGTTGATAATCTTAAAATCTAAATCACTTTGGTGGTTGAATTGGGGAAGGACGTAGGGAGACTGAGCTACTCTTCATTTTTCTTCATATCATAGCGCACCCCTTTATTATATTCATCAAGGATTATGGTTACCATTAGATTTATTTACTTTGGAACACTAATTGTT